TATTTTCTAAGAAAGTCTGACTAAACAAATGAGTTTTTCACTGAAATTGATCACAAACTAGCCATTAAACTTTGGCAGCCACAAGTTTTTAATGAGAACTCTGATGTTTTTCATAGCGATACAAAAACAAATTGGCAAGTGATGACATTAGTTTTGATCCCATTACAATTCTATCAAATTGATTATATATATATATATATATATATATATCATCAAAAAGAAAGTGAAATTCCTTGAGGACAAGCTCTAGTAGTTTCTGAAAAACATACTTTGTGAATTTTCCATATTTATTTTGGTATAATACATCATTTCTTAGCTTTAAGTTTTCATCCAAAGGAATATAAGTGTACAGAAATTCTAGAACAAAGCTTGCACAGTATATGTTTTTATCAAATGGTAAATTTTTAGGTCTCTTCAGCTTACTTTCACTCAGTCTTTGAGGAGATATATCATGAGTTCAAGACCACATACTTCCCCACTCCAACATCCCAGATAGTGCAAAAGTTGCATGTGATTTAGCAGTCAGTCAAATCTCAGGTTATTATGTGTTTACCTCATTTGAAGGTAGTTACTTGCTCAAGTTAAAGTTAATTCATTTAACATAAAGAAACCTGGGTGCTCTTTTAGACAGAATTTTTATGCCACTTGTGACTTGTGTTGATGGGGAATTCTGTTCAAAAACTTCCAAGTTGGACTTGAATGCATACTTATTGAATATACAGGAGAGTTTGTTTCTTACAGTCATGTATTTGTCGACTGTTGAGATGTTGTCTTGTATTAGAATGACCATATACTTTCCATTGTATCCATATAAGATTGGATTGTGAGGTAATTGGCCACCAAGTACACACTTTCGGCCACTGTCTGATGATACCTTGTGAAGATCAGTTGCAGGTTGTTTTTTTTCAGATCTTTTAGTGAAAGTTTCAGCTAGTATAGATCTGATTAAAATATTTCATTATGCTTTCAAAATGCACATTCCCCCAAAGGGTTTAGACTTGAGGAGACTGATCTTTCAGTGGTTTAATTCTTGCTATCTTTTCAGTAATTATGTTTAAGAGGTGCGTGACCAATTATGTACAGCACTGTAGGATAAGGCTCTAAAATTCAGTTTTAACAAAGCTTCTTTTCCTGCCTTTAAGTTTAATACAGAGGATGCATAGAAAGGCTGCAGAATCCAAAAAAGGATTCCTTTGGGAATTAGGAGTCACTTCATGGTATCCAAGGTTACATTTAATGCAGCTTCTTCCACTTTGGAGGGTAAAATAGTGACTTATGGCATCTTTTACTATAGAACCAGTAGATAGAAGACCATTCCTTTTTGTGAGGGATGTGTCCTATCCTGCATTGGTTTACAGAAGGTTTTCTGATTCCAATGAAGAAACCTCCTTCTGTGACACTCCTTCCTTTGTTCACACCAAAATCAAACAAAGAAAAACAGAGGAAGTTTGTGCAGCAAGAGATACAGTCATTGATGCAGAAGTAGGTCATTGAATAGGTCCACAACCAGAATTCTGAGGAGTTTTATATCAGCCTTTTTGTTTAAAGAAAAATAATAGAAGTTTAAGACTAATAATAGACTAAGTCAATTCAACAATTTTCTTGTCCTCCAAGATTAAGGATGTTATTAGTTTAATCCATGGACATTGGGATTACACTTACTAGATCTCCAGGATGCCTGTTAATCAAAGAAATACCTCAGCTTTGCTCATGAGAGTCAAGTTTATTCAGTTTTTACATCTTTACCATGATCATGAGCAATGTAATGAAGATCCAGATGATCAAGATGAATGTTTGCACTTGTTTACCTAAACTACTCTCTTTTGAAGGATTGGGATCCCCAGTCATTGATTTGAGTCAGGGAATCTCCTTTTATTTTTTAGTGTCCATGATTTCTAGTGAATATAGAGAAATCAGATCTAATTCTCTCCCAAACTTTTGTTCATTTGAACCATCTGTTCAAAATCATGTTGGGAGTGTTAGAAGTTCCCCAGGAGGGGTTGGACATGCTCATATATATTAACCAACTGTTTTTACAGGTTTGTTGGGCTCAGCCAAACTTGTTCTTCAGTTACTGGGAACACTGTATTGGGTAGCATGTTGTATCTACTCCCACTTCATTGTTTACTGCTAGATCAGTGGAGACTTTTACTACATCCACTTCACCACAAAGTATTGCAGAATTTTTCAAGGAGCATTGTGCTAGATGTAAATTGGCTGAGAATTGGGATACCTTTCCATCATACTAAGCCAATGTTTGTTCTATTAACAAACTCCAGTACCTAAAGGTGGGTTGCTCATCCACAGCTTCTAAATCTTTTTATTGAGTAATTTTAATATATCCATTTGTAATAAAAGTTTTGGGATGTTAACAGTTTCACATGCACTACATTATGAGACTAATCAGTATTAATTCTGTCAATACAACTGTATTCTTATATCGAGGATACAGGAGGAATAGATTCCCCAGATTTGTACTCATTAGTGCGGTATCTGCTTTGGTGTAAACATTGATTTCAGATCGATCTAGAGTTTAAGTAAATTCTGGGGATACTGAATATTTTAGCAGACTCTTTCCAGGAAGAACCAGATCCTCAGCATAGTTTGGTCACATCCTCATTATCAATTTGTTTGTGACATGTCTTAGTGACAAGCCTCTGACTTGTCACTCTGTCAAGACCCTCAAGTCACCAGTGACAACATGGATAATAGTATTTCTGTATTTATTTGACAACTATACAAGAGTAATGGTCTGAGTTACAATCTGTTAGAACAACTGCATATAACCAGATTTGATGACAATCCACAATCACTTCATTTTCACATTTGCCCATTATCAGGAAGAAGCATCTCAGACAGTGAAAGTTTTGATGAAACATTTTAGAGAATTTCTGCTGCTAAGTGAGAGTCAACAATGACTGTGTGTAACACTAAATGGAGTATTTTTTAATGATGGTGTCAGATGAAAGATATAATTCTTACCAAAATCAATGTTCAGTAGTTAGTAGATATTTTTTTTATTACTTGTTTGATGGACCTTTAACTATTTCAAGTTGTAAGGCTTCTTTTTGTCATACGTAGACATTTTAATAAGTTTGATGTTATCTCTCGTATAGCCATTTCATATTTTCTTAAGTTTTTCCAGAGA